AAAAAAAAAAAAAAAAAAAGAAGAAGAAAAGAAAAAAAAATACACATACTGTAAACATGGCAACATTAAATATGGTGATGCTAGTCTAGAATATTTCATGTCATGATCACATCTTGTTATACCTGAATTTATATACAGGATATTTTATAGCAAGTGTTACCCACTTCACAAGTGGAGGGGGAAGAGAGAGAGTCTAGGTTTTGCTGTGGCTAAAACTCCTTCAAAGTAAAGTTAAAGCTTGTCTTTGATTGTTATAGAGCTTTCTTTCATAACCGCATTTAAACTGAAGATTAGCACAGAGAAATTATCTGGGGCCCCTTGAAATTTATAATTCAAAATTTCCGTTATGATTCTCGGGGAGGGGGAAGGGGAGAAAAAAGTGTCTGATATGGAGAATAAAAAAATTACTGCAAAATAAACTTAATGGAAGTTGGGTCTTCAGACTGTCAGTCAAAAGTTCCACCAGGGGTTATTCCTGTTTGGGTTGGAGTTGCCTCTTCCAGGCCTCGTTCAAATAAACTAGTCGTTTGTAGTTGATGATAAAGAGAATGAAGTTCAGCAAATATGTGAGCACGCAGACAATGCAAAATTCCTTCAGCACGAAGTACAGAATGTATGCCAAGTACAGGGACCCTACTACAGACACTATGGAGGATGTCATGAGGATTAGAGCTGCTACTGCACTTGCTGTCATACCTGCAACAAGAGAGACAGAGTTACTCACCCCTCCCCACACAGAGAAAAACTGAATTCAGACTCAGCCACTCAGCAATATTACACAGAATTCTGGTTAAAATACCATCTTGAGAAATCGGTATTTGGAGGGGAGTATCTAAGGCTCTGTCTGACAGCCCAGTGGAGTTGTGTGGGATTAACCATGCTCATACTCCTGAGTTATAGGAAAATTAGTGGTCAAGTTATTTCTGTCAGGATTAACAGCTTTACAGCAAACCATAGAGTTACCAAGAAATAGATATAATTATATTTCATGCACTTTTTTGCCTGCTCTCTCCATTACTCCTGCAAAACTTTCCCATTCCATTTTTATTCCCTCTCTTTTCCACCATGCAATCCAATGCCAAATATACTGGAGTGAAAATACCAGCACAGAAACTGTCTTCACACTTGGATTATTAATAGCATATCAGGAGAAAATCCAATTACTCTTTTTATCAGTTGGGTTTTTAAGCCCTTTGGACAGATGTATCATTAGAGTGATGCAAAAATAACCCCAAGATATAAAAATCAGAAGCATTTATCTGGTTTCCTGCAGATTGTGCAATGGATATTGCTCTCCTCCTGCATCCCCACAGCCCTGCTTTATATTTGAGGCTCTGAAGTGAATGAATACTTACCAAGTAGCATTTGTAGTATATAAAACACCAGGCCAAAAACACTGTTTGACTGATTTATTGCACTGTCCTTTCCAAAGATGGAACCCAAGAGACCGAATCCTCGACCCCATCTGTAAAACAGGGAAACTAATTAACTCTTATTTGGCCACCTACTGCTTTCCAGCAGCATTTTCAGTCCAGGGCTGTTGGGGAAAGAAAAGGACACAAATTCTGATATGATTTACTTGGAGCTCTCCTGGAAAACCAAGCAGCAACAGGGGGAGCACTGGGCACAGCTTTATCCCACACCTTGCTGACTGAAGTTGTTTGACACACTAGGAAATACTGAATTCATACAGCTGCAACTTCCCTGAACACCACCTCTGCTTCCCAGGGTCGGAGTTTAGAGCTGTTTTGTCAAATAGACACTTCCTTCCCCCACTGACAGCTTTAGCAGCTCTCTGCACCGCAACAAATTGGACACAAGGTCACTACAAAGCTGAGGCAAGGATTTGTTCCACTCACTTCTCTGCATCAGAGCAAGAGAATCAGGACATAAATCTGTACCTCAGCTGCTCCTCAGTCTAACAGCTCAGGAGGAACCCAAATCTGTCAAGCACACGAGCTGAGGATGGCACTATCACAAGATCAGCTCTTGCACAGTGTGACACTGAACCAACACCTGAAATCCCTACAAAGTGACTTTCAACTTCCCAGGGCTAAGGCAGAAAGCAGCACAAGCCCTACAAAACTGCTGCTGCAGGAAGGAGGGTGAAAGATTAAATTAGCAAATGTGTTTGTGCCAGAAACCATTAATTCCATGCCCTAAGGCAGTTCATGCTATTATTTGTAAAAGCAAAGTGAAGACCCTATTTATTAGTGTCACTTGAAAATACAAAGTTATTTTGCTATTTCAAGGTAATTTAACTCACAAGAGCACATTGGGATATTTGCCAGCAGATTTTTGGAGCATCAAGCCAAGCACTACACAAATGTCAGGCTTGCTTCACATTACCAGCTTAACTGAGCAAGGTAAAAAAGTGTCATTCCTCATCCTGCTGCAGCAGGAAACTCCAAAGAAAATGCAGTTTTCAGAAAGTTTCTTATCCTAGAGGCAACGGCCCTGCTGAACCAACACCCAGCTCAGGTTTGTCCCTGCACAAAGCAGGAATGTTGCTGATGTCACTCACCTGGGACCTGCCATCCCCACATCACAGTTTTCTCACAGGAAGAGGCACCACAATAAGAAGAATTTAATACCATCTCCAAAACATTCTCCAGTCTCACAGCCATCTGTGCAAAACTCATTTAAACTCATCATTTTAATTGTAGACTAAGTTTGAATTCACTAGTAATACTCTTGTGCTCTTCTCCCCAAGAAACCCAGCAGGTCCCAATTCTTAGAAAGCAGATTTACTGTATAAACAGTCAAAAATTAAACATGCTTTCAGCTAGTTTGGTCTCAAATCTTTTAAAAGTGAAACTTTTCTGCCAATATTAAGCTTCAAGGCAGCACAGACAATGCTTTTCCAGGGGACAGAGCCTCAGCATCCCAGAGCTGCCAGACATGGAGTTGCAGGGAAAAGCGGTGCAGAACTGCCTGGCTCTCTGCTCTCATCCCAGGGCAGCTCTGGGGTTATGGAAATTACAAAGAATCTCAATTATGGTGAGATTTCCTCTCACACCTCGAATGTTATCTGGATTTTAAGAGATTTTTTAGCCTTCCTTTGATAAGATGGTCACAGCACATGTAACAATTGTCCTGTGTTGTCCAAATTCCAAAGGCTGTAGTAAAGAGCCACACAAATATATTAAAGGAATTATCATTTTTACATTTAATAGTTTATACTTATTGTTCTGTATTACTAAGTTATAGATGCTTCAGCCTGCCATGCACAGGTTCAGTTTATTGTTCTGGTCTCCAAGTGAGAATTCTTTGCAGGGTGACATTAAAATGATTTAAACACACTCAAGTTTTCCTGCACAACCCACAGTGGGTAAAGGTTCAGCATCAGCCTAACTCCAAATAACGGCAGGATGATGAATCCATCCCTACCTGAGTGCTCAGCAGATCCTGTGGTGTCTGAGAGCAAAGGATTAAAACATCAGAAATGTCATTTTACAGAACCTGACCCTGCAGTTGTTCTGCAAGAGAATAAAATGTTGCCAGTGGAAGGATAATGAGTTCCAGCCCTTCCTGAGAGTCACAGTCCCGGAGTGATCTGCGCAGAGCTGCAAGGTCAGAGCACAGGGAAAGCTTTTTCCACAAGCAGGACTTCATTAAGTGTCTTGTTGGCCTTGTAGCAGCTTTGAGGAGATCAAGTATTAAATTTCAGCCCATGGAGTCCAGGTCTAATCTCACATCTTATTCCACACACTTGGAGACAGCTAAGCAGCCTGGGGTTTAGCACAGAACACTTTTCCCAGCCTTATAAGGTTTGGAGTGGGAGCAAGTGTTCTGCATCAAACTGAAAAGCAAAGTATTTAGACTTAATATATTTACTTTGTATACTCCCTTTCCCATCTCATTTCCCTACTGAAAAGTCTAAATAGTCTCCTAATTTTATTAAGGTTGTAAAACCCACAATGAACCAGGAACTTCTGCCAGCAGGTGGAGGAAGGATAAAAACTCAGTAGATAATGTTCCTTTTCACACCAAATTCAGGTGTGAATTGCCTGATTGATGATAACTTTAAAAGTCTAAAAACGATGGCAAACAAATAGCAAGAAGAAAACAAGATGAGCTGCAGAAAATAAACTCAGAAGTCTTTCATGTAACCTGCATTTTACAAAAAAAAACACGTAATTTAGAAGAAATGTTATTCATTTGCATCCATTTTTTTGGATACAGAATGTTAAGCAAAATGACCTGCAGTAACTACAGAGCTGCTTGCACAGCAAGATAAAAGCACAGCCTGATTTCACCAAGTTTTTCCTGGTTCTGTTTGGTGGCTCCCATCCCTGAGGATCAGGAGTTCGGTGTCGCAGTCACTCCAGGTGACTCAGAGCACTCTGACAAACACATGTGCCAAACCCACTTTCACCACACCCGAGTTTCACTGCTATTAAAAAATACAAGGAATCAGATCTAAATACAAGGAACAAACCTTTACTACATCTCTGTAACTCAGTTTCCCTCCCTATCTGCGTGTACCACTCTGAATGTTCTTTAAAATGTTAAATAGTGATTCAAGAAATCTAAAATAAAGTGATTCCTCTACTTTCCCAGTATCTACAATTGAACACTGCAGTGATTTTCAGCCCAATGTGCACCATCTCTTATCAAAAGGAGGTTTTGGAAGTTATTATCCACCCTCTTAACAATGCCCCTTCTGGTTTGAGGTACTTCACAAAGCTCAGCAATGTTGCATTTTCAGAGGTTTAAAGCAGTGTTTGTGTGCAATTGTTACTTCTTAACAGGAAGACAAAAAGAACTGAGGTCACTGTGCTCCACGAGTGACCTATCCCCAGTAAAATCTTACACCTTTATGTCACTAAAATCATTTCAATCTCTTTTGCACAACTATGATCATCCTCTGTGTTCCAGAACAGTGTATTAGGGGACACACTTTAGGATAATTTAGCAGAGAAAATGCTCAAAGGGAACACAAGAACCTCATTTAG